GGAGGAAGAAAAAGACGTAGAAAAAAAAAAGAAATCCGCTGAAAAAGATCCTTCCCTTTTTTCCGAAGAAAAAGGTATTTTGGAAAAAGAATTGGACTTGAAGGTAAATGAACCAGACTTGGAAGGGTCTGATTCCGAATTGGAAATCCTTGAAAAAAATGAAAATAAAGAACATATTGTGGCTCTTCTTTTTGATTATAAAAGATGGACTCGCCCATTTCGTTACATAAAAAATAATAGACTTGAACAAGCTGTAAGAAACGAAATGGCACAATATTTCTTTGACATACATAAAAGTGATGGAAAAGATAGAATATCTTTTACCCATCCGATAAGTTTATCAACGTTTTTTCAAATAATCAAAACAAAGATACCCCTTTTGTCACTAGAAAAAGATATTTCTAATACATTGGACAATTTTTTGGGTTTCTAGAAACAAACAAAAATTAAATTCTATAAAAATTGATTTGCTAAATCGAATTAAAAATCTTGACAAACCAGTAGCAGTTCCAATAATCGAAATTGAAACAAACAAAACGCGATTATGTATACACAATGATGAGACTAGAAAAGAATACTTACCAGAAAAGTATGATCCCTTGTTAAATGGGCCTTCCCGCGGAAGAATAAAAAAAGATATCACGTCGATAAACGATACTTCGATCAAAAAGTTGAGAGAGAAGGTTATGCTAAATAGACTTCATGCTTTATTGTTGATGTCTACTTTTGAAAAAAAGGAAAAAAAACCATTACAAGTTGGTGAGTTCTCAACTTTATCATCAAGTTTCAATTTAACGGATTCAGAACAACTAACAAAATTTTTAGTAAATGCAATTGAGACAGACGATAAAAAATCTTCTGCAATAGAAAAAATAGGTAAAGAAGAAATTGGTAAAAAAGTCCCCCGATGGTCATACAAATTAATAACTGAATTGGAACAAATATCGTATTTTACAAATCCACCAGATGATCATGATATTCGTTCAAGAAAAGGGATCAGTGTATTAATTTTTGAAGAACCTAAGACTCTCAAAGATAAGACTACAAACAAAGATAAGAATACAAAAGATACAAATATTCAAGCTATAAAATCCGACGATAATGAGAAAGATAAAAATATTAAAAAGAAAAAGGAAGATGAGGATAATAAGCTTTTTTTATTACGATATCCGCACCAATCTGATTTTCGCCAAGGCTTAATAAAAGACTCTATGCGAACTCAAAGACGTAAAATAGTTATTGAGGGACTTTTTAAAGCAAATGCGCATTCCCCTCTTTTTTTTGACAGGATGAGGAAAAAAACCTTTTTTTCTCTACCATACCTGGCTCAACTGAAACGGCTTTTTAGAAAATGGTCATCCATAAAAGAGTTTGGGATTTTAGAATCTACAGAGGAAAAAAAAATAATAATAAAAAGAGAAACCAAAAAGGAAAAAAAACGACGAGAGGAAATAGAACGGTTAGAGATAGGGGAAGCCTGGGAGACTTTTCCATATACCCAAATAATAAGAGGTTTTTTATTAATAACCCAATCAATTCTCAGAAAAAAGATTCTATTACCTTCATTCATAATCGGTAAAAATATCGGGCGTATGCTACTATTTCAAACTCCTGAATGGTCTGAAGATTTAAAGGGATGGAATAGAGAAACGCATGTGAAGTGTACTTATAATGGTATTCCGTTAGCTGACAAAAAATTTCCGGAAAATTGGTTGACAGAAGGTATTCAAATCAAAATTTTATTTCCTTTCTGTCTCAAACCTTGGCACGAATATAAATCGCTAAATTCTCGTGATGACTTTTGTTTTTTAACAGTTTGGGGAAGGGAAACAGAACACCCTTTTGGTCATCCACGACAAAAACCTTCGTTTTTTAAGCCTGTTTTTAAGGAACTTTACAAATTTGTAAAAGTAAAAATTAAATTTTTAAAAAAGTTTTCAAAAAAAAACACAAGTTCAAAAGAAACAAGAACAATACACCCGAGTGTAATAAAAAATGAAAAAGATGATCTAATAAATAACCAGATAATGAATCAACCCTTGAGTAAAATTGAAAAAATTACAGATTGGAAAAATTATTCACCGATAGACAAAATGCAGGCTATCACTCATAGGACAAGTACAATTAAAAAAAAACTAGAAAGAAATTACGGAAGATAAGAAAAGGGTCACTCTAGAACTTGATATGAACCCTTACAAAAAAAGTTCGAGATTAGCCTTGTCAAAAAATTTTTGTCAAATGTTGAAAAAAAAAAAAAAATAGATTAATATATAAATTTAATTATTTTATAAAATTATTTATTCAAAGAATATCTAATTGTATTTTTTTATATACTATATCTATTTGCCAAATGACTCAAAAAGTCTTTGTGGAATCAACAAAAATGAACTCTCTTTCAAATTCAAATATAAAAACGCATAATAATAAGCTTTATAAGGAAAATTCAGAGAGTTTTGGTGATTTATCCAACTTGTCACAAGCATATGTATTGTACAAAATATCAGAAAGGGGTTTTTTGAACGTACGTAATTTCATATCTGTTCTTCAACAAAATGGAACATCTTTCTTGATTAAAAAGAAAATAAAAGACTCATTTCATACACAAGGAATACTTCCATCTGAAGGAATAAAAAAACAACTTAAGCGGCCTAGAACGAGTCAATGGAAATTTTGGTTAAAAGGGAATTCTCACTACGATTTATCTCCTAATTTCTGGTCTGCCTTAAGATCACAAAAACAAAAATGGAGAAATAGGGCGAATCGCTATCGTAGGTCTAAACAAAAATATTTAGACAAAAGGACTTCCGGTAAAAAATTAAAATTAAATACTTACAGGAAACAAAAGGATGCTAACTCAGTCTTGAATAAAAAAACAAAAGATAATTTAAAAAAATGCTATCGATATGATCTTTTAGCATATCAATACATTCAGTATGAAAAAAATAGTGGAACCCCTCCAGGAGCTAAACGGGAAGCAATTTCTTATCATTACAAGATGTCACAAAACAACTTGTTTGCGATAACGAAAAATATTCCTATCACTAGTTTCAGAGGAAAAATAGAAAGGTTAAATATTCCATATCCAAAAAAAGATGTCGATAGAAAATATTTGAATTGGAAAAATATTGATTTTTCTCTTAAAAAAAAAGCGAATATTGAGTCCTGGATCACGTGGTAATTATAACAATACTCAAAATACTCCAATTTTCACTTACAATTATCAATTAATTGATAAAATGGAAGAAATTTTGAAAATTGAGCAAATTTTTAAAAACGAAAAAGATCCTTTTGCTCTTTTGATTCAGAAAAATACCGAAATGAATCGACTCCATTCTAGAAATTCTTTATTGGATTGGATGGGACTGAATGAAGAAATACTCGACCGTCCATTAACGGCTGAGGAACTTTTGGTTTTCCCAGAATTTGTGTGGTTTGTTAATTTATATAAACTGAAACCATGGATTATACCAAGCGAATCACTTATTTCAAATTTGAATCTTAATGAAATGACAAGTCAAAAGACCGGTAAAACTCAGAAAGATAAAAAAGATAAAAACTGAGAGTAAAAAAAAAGATAAAGCCGAGGGTCAAACCAAAAGTGAACCTGAGGGTCAAACCAAAGGTGAAACTCAGGGTGAAACCAAAGGTAAACCTGAAGGTGAAACCAAAGGTAAACCTGAAGGTGAAACCAAAGGTAAACCTGAAGGTGAAACCAAAGGCGAAACTGAAGGTGAAACTGAAGGTGAAAAGAAAAGTCAAACTGAGATAGAACTAGAGTTATTCATGAAAAACTATTTATTTTTTCAATTTAGAGAGGATTTTACTTTAAATCAAGGCCTTTTCCAAGATCTCCAAATCTATTGTCTCTTGCTTAGAATGATAAATCGAAAAAAAATGATGCTATCATGGATTCTAAGGGAAAAGTTAAATTTGGGTCTAATGCCACAGATGGATCAGAAAGAGAGTGTTCCAGATTCAAAAAGAAATGTTCCAGATTCAAAAGAGAGTGTTCCAGATTCAAAAGAGAGTGTTCCAGAATTTTTAAAAAAGACGGGATTTTTGGTCGACCCCCTTCCGGTCTATCAAACCAAATGGAGAATTTCTTATGTATGAAACGATAGTTATTTCGTTGGTTCATAAGAGTAAACAAATTCTTAATAAAGAAGACGTAAAACAAAGAATAATTCGCGCTCGAGAGAACAATAATTGTGATCCGCTTCTTATTGAAAATATTTTATCATCTAGGCGTCGTAGAGAATTAAGAACTCTAATTTGTTTCAATTCACACAAATGGAATGGCGTGGATGCAAATTCTCTAGTTTCCAACAAAAATAAAGTTTGGGAAGAAAGCAACCCTGGGCCTAAGGATCAAAATAAATTAATTGAATTTTTTCTTTGGCCTAATTATCGATTGGAAGATTTAGCTTGTATGAATCGTTATTGGTTTTATACTAATAATGGGAGTCGTTTCAGTATGTTAAGGATCCATATGTATTTACCATTGAATTTAAATTGGTGGAAATTTAATTGATAGTAGTACTATCTACCCTGTAGCAGGGTAGATGGTAGCAGGTTAGATGAAAACCAATATGGACACATACCCTATTTTATACCTCATTTTAATTTGGATCTAACTGAATTGAGGATACCATATATCTATCTAGATCTATATAGATATATTGTACCTCATTAAAAGAATATTAAGTTGAAAAAATTCACTTTGATTTTATTAATGAACCCTAAAAGAAAGGGTTTTCTTTTGATTTGAATTGATAGACTTAGTTAGAAGAATTCCTTTTTAGCAATAAATGTCTTTCACATCCAGTGATAACCTGTAAATCATTTGAAATGGCAGTTCCAAAAAAACGTATTTCGAAAGCCAAAAAGCGTATTCGTAAGAACATTTGGAAAAGAAAGACTATTGAGGTAAGATTAAAAGCTCTTTCATTAGCAAAATCTCTTTTAAACGGGTAAGTTTCAAAGTTTTTTTTTACAAAAAAAATAAGAAAACATTGGACTCATTTCTGTCAAGTTGATTTATTCTATAATATAGAATAAAAGTAAATAATATTATCCTTTTTTTCTTTATTTTTTGTTCGTTCGTTTTAGTTACTAATCAATTATTTCATATCTATGAAATGAATCTAGAACTTAATTATAAAAAATTATTTTAAATGCATATTATATATCAATGAAGGGAGTTCATTTAGTTTATGATAAAAAACTTACAAAACAGAGGTTCCGTTGAATTTCAAGTATGGAATTTCACCAATAGAATACACCGGCTTACTTCCCACTTGAAATTGCACAAAAAAGACTATTTATCTCAAAAAGGTTTACGTAAAATTTTGGGGAAACGACAACGACTTTTAGCTTATTTATCAAAAAAAAATAAATTCCGCTATAAAGAATTAATTGATAAATTGGAGATTAGAGAGACAAAAACTCATTCATTTTGAAGTTGCATAGCTTTTCAAACCTATTATAGAGGTAAATTTAGAACAACAATATGGTTACTGAAACAATTAAAAAAGAATAGCTTGGGGTAGTGAATAGAAAGACATCATGTCCTTTTGTCTATTGATTCTTACTGTATAAATTTGAAGGGAGTATTTATTTAAAACTTTAAAACAATAGATTGAGTTAATTAAAAAAAGAATCCTTATTTACCCTATTAGGTAGTTTGTAGGTAGTTTGCGTAGTTATAAAAAAATGATAATATTAAAACATAAAATAATTTTTTTTTATTTTCAAAACCAATCCAGAAATCTATTGATTAGAATCCTTCTGAGAATTCATTGAGTCATATAGTATCTAAAAACCAAGTATCTTATAATTTTATATTGGATAAAAATAATATTTGGAGGATACTATATCGATAATTCATAAAGTTTATAAATTTATTCGTCCAATGGCACATTCTGTAAAGATTTATGATACATGTATAGGATGTACTCAATGTGTCCGAGCCTGCCCCACCGATGTTTTAGAAATGATACCATGGGACGGATGTAAGGCTAAACAAATTGCTTCTGCTCCGAGAACAGAAGACTGTGTAGGCTGTAAAAGATGTGAATCCGCCTGCCCAACAGATTTCTTGAGTGTTCGAGTTTATTTATGGCATGAAACAACTCGCAGTATGGGTCTCGCTTATTGATCTGGTCCAGAAAAGTATATTTGAATTCATTCTATTTTTATTGAACACCCGTGCTCTCAAATAGGAAATATTTTTATTTGAGAGCACGGGTTTCACAAATTTTTAGCTTTTCACGAAGTAAAAAATTAATGTCTTTTTTTATGTTCGCGAAAATGAACCATAAGTATGTAGACCTAATCCAATTAAATTGACTCCAAAATAACATATCCAAATAAGAAGAAAACCTATAGATGCCACAATTGCCGAAGTAGCACCTTCGAAAGTTCTATTTCTTCGAGTATGTAGATAAATTGAAAACACTATCCAAGTAATAAAAGCCCAAGTCTCTTTAGGATCCCAACTCCAATAAGATCCCCACGCTTGGTTCGCCCACAAAGCCCCCGAAAGTATTCCTATGGTTAAAAAGATAAACCCTAAACTAATAACTCGATAACTCCAATAATCCAATTCTTTACTTAATTGAATCTTATAAAAATTTTTAGCCGAAAAAATATAATTCATTTTAAAAATATTTTCATTTTTTCTAAAGGTAATGACCATAAGTGCTACTGATAATAAGGAGCCACATATAAGAGCTGCGTAACCCACTATCATCATACTTACGTGCATTATTAACCACTCAGATTGAAGAGCGGGGACTAATATTGAAGATTTTTTAATTTCTGTGAAAAGACCCGAAGTAGCAAAAGCCTGGATACAAAAATTGATTGGGCTTATTATTGTACTTAATAATTTTGTATTTTTTTTTAAATAGGAAAGGCTATTAATAAGAGCAAAACTCCAGGAAAGAAAAAGCAAAGATTCCGATAAATCACTTAGTGGGAAATGGCCCGACGAAATCCAATGAGTAGCTAATAATCCTGTTATACATAAAAAAGTTATGAAAATGCACTTTTCTGATGAATTAGAAAGTTTTATGTTTTCATCTACAAAAAAGATTTTCAAATAAATTTTAATTAAAATAGAAACGAGTATTATTGAAAGTGAAATATTAGTTAGTATATGTTCTAAGGTTGAAACTATCATAAAAATAAAAAAAAAATAAGATTTTAACTCCGAATTAGATAAGAAAAAAATGAAAAAGAACAAAAGATTACTCTTATTTTTTATGCCGCTACTCGGACTCGAACCGAGATGCGCTAGCACTGCTTCCTAAGAGCAGCGTGTCTACCAATTTCACCATAGCGGCATGTTATTTACTTTCACTCATATATTTCACCCATTTATAGAATTTATCGAAACGATAATTCGAGTGATGGGCGAACGACGGGAATTGAACCCGCGCATAGTGGATTCACAATCCACCGCCTTAATCCACTTGGCTACATCCGCCCCCGACTAAACTATGTTATTTTCAAAAAGGAATCAATAAAGGAGCAATAACCGATTTCTTGTTCTAGACAAGAAGGCGGAATTGCTCCTTTATTCTATTTTAAATAGATTCTCTATCTATATACTAAGAGACGAAGTCTCTAGCCATTTGTAGCTATAACTTGGATAGCAGCTAGGTCTAGAGGGAAATTGTGAGCATTACGTTCATGCATAACTTCCATACCAAGGTTAGCACGATTAATTATATCAGCCCAAGTATTAATTACCCGGCCCTGGCTATCAACTACGGATTGATTAAAATTGAAACCATTTAGATTGAATGCCATAGTGCTGATACCTAAAGCAGTGAACCAAATACCTACTACAGGCCAAGCAGCTAAAAAGAAGTGTAATGAACGAGAATTATTGAAACTAGCATATTGGAAAATTAATCGTCCAAAATAACCATGAGCGGCTACTATATTATACGTTTCTTCCTCTTGGCCGAATCGGTAACCTTCATTAGCCGATTCATTTTCTGTGGTTTCCCTGATCAAACTAGAAGTTACCAAGGAACCATGCATAGCACTGAATAGGGAACCGCCAAATACACCAGCTACGCCTAACATATGAAATGGGTGCATAAGAATATTGTGCTCAGCCTGAAATACAATCATGAAATTGAAAGTCCCAGAGATTCCTAGGGGCATACCATCAGAAAAACTTCCCTGACCAATTGGATAGATTAAGAAAACTGCGGTAGCAGCTGCAACCGGAGCGGAGTATGCAACCGCAATCCAAGGGCGCATACCCAGACGAAAACTAAGTTCCCACTCACGCCCCATATAAGAAGCTACACCAAGTAAGAAGTGTAGAACAATTAGTTCATAAGGACCCCCATTATATAACCATTCATCAATGGATGCCGCTTCCCATATTGGGTAAAAATGTAATCCTATAGCTGCAGAAGTTGGAATAATGGCACCTGAAATAATATTGTTTCCGTAAAGCAGAGATCCAGAAACAGGTTCACGAATACCATCAATATCTACTGGTGGAGCAGCAATGAAGGCAATAATAAATACAGAAGTTGCGGTCAATAAAGTCGGGATCATCAAAACACCAAACCATCCAATGTAAAGACGATTTTCAGTGCTAGTTATCCAATTACAGAAACGACCCCATAAGCTTTGGGTTTCGCGTCTCTCTAAAACTGCAGTCATGATCAATTCTTGGTTGATTTTATAATCAGGGACTCCCAAGCACACGAAATAAAAAAAAATAGAATAAATTAAAGGCTTGTTATTCAACAGTATAACACGACTTAGATATTCGTGTCAACCAATAGAGCTATCTAATTTGATTCCGCCCCCTTTTTTTAAGTCAAGCAAATTTTCTCCATTTAATTTAAGTATGACGATTTGGTACTCATAATTACAATCTGGAACTTGTTAGTTCGAGTAAAGAATATATTTTTTTTTTAATATTTTTGTGAATAAGCGTTCCTATATATATATATAAATTATATATAAATTATCTGTAGTCAATTTTAAAAAAGTTAAAACTAAGCTTACCCTTTAATTAGACTTTTTAAGAAAGATTTACGATCAAATGGAAAAATAAAACTTTTTGCCTCTATTAATAATTTTATAATTTGGTAAAAATTTGAATTTGACAAGATGCATGAATTTTTAAAAATTAATATGCTCTTCGATACAAACAATATCAAAATACCAAATCCGCCTTTTA